CAGCCGTACTCGCTCGTCTCTCATTAGCACCTGGCAACCCCAGCCGTACTCGCTCGTCTCTCATTATCACCCGGCAACCCCAGCCGTACTCGCTCGTCTCTCATTATCACCCGGCAACTCCAGCCGTACTCGCTCGTCTCTCATTATCACCCGGCAACTCCAGCCGTACTCGCTCGTCTCTCAATAGCACCCGGCAACTCCAGCCGTTCGCTCGTCTCTCAATAGCACCCGGCAACTCCAGCCGTTCGCTCGTCTCTCAATAGCACCCGGCAACTCCAGCCGTTCGCTCGTCTCTCAATAGCACCCGGCAACTCCAGCCGTTCGCTCGTCTCTCAATAGCACCCGGCAACTCCAGCCGTTCGCTCGTCTCTCAATAGCACCCGGCAACTCCAGCCGTTCGCTCGTCTCTCAATAGCACCCGGCAACTCCAGCCGTTCGCTCGTCTCTCAATAGCACTCCGTACTTCACTGCTCGGTTCACTTCATATAACGGATTGGTTGGGAGCCTTTATGTTTTTGGGCGCCACATCGGCGGCCAGACACTGCGCGGCAGACAGCCAATAACCGACACGTAAAGTCGGTTGCAAGAGGAGCAGAGAAAATAGGCTAGGAAAAAAACAGGAAATTCATTGAACACGGCGGCGGTACACGGAAAATAACGGCGCATCGGCCGCTCCTGCAGCTGCGACTTGCAACACAGCGCTCATCGTTGCAACGCTCATCACAACGCTGGGGATTGAAAAAAGAGGTAAATCATGGTCAGGAATGATTTACCTCTTTAGCAGGGATAATTCCTAATTAGGGATAAATACAAACCACTTACAAAATTCTAACAAGTATGCAATAAACGAAAAATGAGAATACGAACTAGCCTAATATCATTCCTCGAGGCTGCAACGCGCGTTAGAGGCTAGAATGACGAGCGCGTTCCTAACAATTATTCGCTCCGACGCTTGAGGGAAGAACGTCCTGAGTAGCGAGGTCAAGCACCGGTACGCCAGAGTTTGGTGAGGTCTCGTCTGAAGTAAAGTAAGCTTAGCGATGACTCGGCAGACTGGCCGCTATACGGGGACTGCTGATGAGCCGCTCTGAAGGCATGAGCTGCATGCCTCTTTGATGGCATGAGCTGCATGCGGCTCTGATGGTATGAGCAGCATGCCGCTCCAATGGCATGAGCAGCATGCCGCTCTGATGGCATGAGCTGCATGCCGATGTGATGGTGTGAGCTGCATGCCGCTCTGATGGCATGAGCTGCATGCCACTCTGATGGCATGAGCTGCATGCCGCTCTGATGGCATGAGCAGCATGCCGCTCTGATGGCAGGAGCTGCATGTCACATTTCTTAACATTATACATTTGCACGTCACATTTCCCCAATTAAATTCCCACCACATATAATACCCCCAGGCTGCGGGAGGTGCTGCTGTACGTGGTGGCGGCCCTCAGCAGGGAGAGCCCCCATAACCTCACCCAGTGGTGGCCGCAGCTGAAGGAGGCCCTGAGGGAGGTCCGCATCATTACCGCCGACGATGTGATGGACTGCGTCGCGCGCTACCCCGACGCGGGGATATTGGCCGAACTCATCAAGGGCGAGGAGTGGCGCGTCGAGGAAGGTGGGTATTATACAGTACAATACAGTACTGTATTTTATTTCCTTTCCGGCTCGATCAAACCTGATTTTCATATTAATGTAAGAACCCTGTAATGAATATTTGCAAAAACTACAAAGAAAGCGAAGCTGAGCTTATCGTTGCCACGAAGGAAAACCTAAACTGGTGCCTGGTGTGACTGGTGAGGTCGACCACACCTCACCCCATGCCACCTCCCCTCCCTTTGGAGCCAACTTTACTTCTGCCTCATCCCCTACCCCCTTTACCACCTCTTCCCTCACATGTAACCCTACCACTACCGCCAGCCTTACCCTCGCCTTTAGCCTTTTGAGTGCCCCAACATCTGATCCTGCCGCCTCTTCTCCTTCTGATATAGGCTCAAATGCTTAAACCACCTACGCATCGGTAACCGCCCAAACCTCCAAGGATAGTTACTTTGAAGTTGGTTTGCCATCATCCCTTCCAGCTCTACCATCCCTACTGTGAGATTTGATTTGTTTGTATTTTGGAGTTTGTAGAGTAGAAATTATGTTAGATTTTTGATAGCCCAATATTTTGATATTGGGCATTTTGTTTTTGATAGCCCCTTTGTTCGCTCGAAATTTCGGTGTCAGTGCGTTTTCGTAGCCAGTTTACCGCCCGTAGCTCTTATTTCCAGTCGAAATCGATTTTCACGATGGCAAAATTTTAACGTTACAAGTGACATTAATAAACTCGATGGTCAACTTTTGGGGGAGCTTGAAATTCTGAGTACGCCAGAGTTTGGTGAGGTCTCGTCTGAAGTAAAGTAAGCTTAGCGATGACTCGGCAGACTGGCTGCTATACGGGGACTGCTGATGCCGGAGGCTTTCTTGTTGATGTTTGTCATGTACACGCAGGACAGGTGCGTGCTGTACGCAGCTACTTACTGCACGCAGGACAGGTGCGTGCTGTACGCAGCTACTTACTGCACGCAAGACAGGAGCGTGCTGTACGCAGCTACTTACTGCACGCAAGACAGGAGCGTGCTGTACGCAGCTACTTACAGCACGCAACATCGAGAAGAAGATAAATTAGAAGGCAAGAGGTCCAGAAGGGCAAGAAGTGGTCTAAATATTGCTGTCTAATGAGAGGCTATCGAGGTGGCAGGAGTGGACAGCAAGTGCCCTCAGTCAGGCTACCGAGAAGAGGGGAAGAGGGAGAGGAAGGCTACTATACTAACACGATAACAAGATAAGTGGAGACCCTCACAGGGGAAGGCATGGAGGGAGGGAGTGAGTACAACAGGGAACCCAGTTACACCCCTCACTACAACAGAGGGCCCAGTTACACCCCTCACTACAACAGAGGGCCCAGTTACACCCTTGAACATGAGCTGGCCTCGCATGTGTAGCATGACCCGCCGTCGCCATGACGACCGTCCCAGCGGTCCCAAAACCAGCAATTAATTGAAAGGAATTCCTGGCATGGAAAACAAAGCAATAAATCGGCCAGCGCTGCAGGGCAGGCGTCACGGCCGGGCGCCGTGCATATGCCCTTGTGGGTATTGATCACCGGACATACTTCATATTGTTTATGATATAATTTATAGCTACATGAGTATTCTATATTATGTACCTACTAAATTTATGGCTCCATGAATAGTTCAATAGTACGTACTAAATGATGAATTTTAATTCTAGCATGTAGACCGGCATCGCTCAGAGGATATTAAAAAAAACTCATGACAACATTAAACCTTTTACCTCTAAACTGTACGTTACCCGTGGACCACAAGGTTTAACCAAGTACCAGCATTTCTCCAAACACACATTTTCAGTACCATGCAAATTAGACACCAAACACACAACCATCTAGCACCTGGCTTCACCCCATCCAGAACAAATGGTTTCCAGTAAATCAAACGCACAAATGCGCATCGGCAGATGAGCAGAACAAATACAACAAAAGGCGATCACACAAAGTCTATATAGAATACATATATATTTAT